CAGAAGACCATTTTTTACCTTCTGAAGCCTTTAGACAGGTGGAATACTTAGCTCTGTCAGAACAGATGAAGAGAGATGTTTGAAATTCGAAAATACTCATTATTTACATTGATATAAAGGAGTGAAAAGAAAGGTTTGAGTAGTGATAAAGAAATGTTGAAAGAGCGTGGAAGTATGCAGTGAAATTTCAAATATATAAAGTATATGTGTTTCTGTCCAGAATCGATCTCGTTCACAGAGTTTCAACTAAGGTTTCAAATAATCAATTTCAGTTGTCTGTAAAACATTAACAAACTTTCTATTCCTTTTAGAAACAAACTCAAATGTTAAACACTTCATGCACAAATGGCATATCTTGTTTTGACCAGTTATATTTCATAATTACGAAACATTGCAAAACTCGATTGAATAATTTACGGGATAACTAGCTAACCTACAGAAACACTTTTCCATGGGATTTTCCGACAACAAACTCAAATGACAAATCCTTAGATAAAATTAAACATTGTGATTTTTAGAAATACCTTGAATATTGCTCAGAATTGTAGTAATAAATTCTTTAACACCCGACCTACTCGATAAAATCTCCAAGTTAAGTAAAATTAGCCAGGAGAATTGTGGAGAACTGACTGGCTTAAAAACATTTTTTACCATAAATCAACATTAGCTTTAAAAAGCTTGGAAGCGAAGAAACACTAGACAGCTATTATATTTCGCCTTTGTGTCTGTAAATGGCGCTCACCAGCTAATTTGTATACGAGTGAATGAGGAAGATTGGAATTTTCGTGAACATTCTCCAATTTGGATGGAGGATTTCATTATGAGCTGACATCATTTAGAGAACCACTGCAAAATCTGGGAGTACTGGACAACCAGATGTTTCGTCAGCGTAGTTTGGGACTCTTCAGCAGTACGAACTCACTGGGGTTAGAAACCAGGACCCTCTCGTTACAAGGTTAGCTCGTAGACCATTGAGCCACTGGGACTCGATCCAATGGCCAGCCCATGAATTCTAACTTCTGCCAAATTCTCCATCCAGGCAAACAAAATCCCTACAAAACCAATACTTGAAAACATTCTCCAATTTCTTTGCAGTTATCAAATGACCTGAATGTCATTGGATGCCATTACCAAGCAACGGTTTTTATAACCAACTTGAGTGACTCTACTGATTGCTATTCTATATTGTATTCAGATATTGTAGTGAAAGTTTTTTAGGGTCTAGAAATGTAACTCTCATAAGGAAATGTAAACTGTTTAAGTTTCTGTCTCATTCAACCAGTTCAAAGAGTGAATTTATTTTGGAAAGAAATTGAGCCCTTTGAACTCTGAGCTATTTAGTATGCTTTCTGACTTTCCTGAAAAAAAAACAAAGATAAGTCGGTAAATGTTCGTTTAGGAAACGACAGTTGAATTAACAGTTGTTGAAGTTGCTGATGAAGACGAAATATCCATCAGTAAATATCACGACTTCGAGAACATCAGATAGTTTCTTTCCTTATCCTGACGTACCGAAATGATAGATTTAAGGAAAAGACATCTGGCAATCTGCTTTAGACTTAGACTTTATGCTAACAAACACCCATCATTGAAACGTATGCATATTCATGTCCTATTAAGGCTGCCACTTTCTTTTTGTTACTTAGTTCCTTAGTCAAAATCTTTCTCGCCATTCATTCAAACAAATATCGTAGGTATGGTGAACACAGTTAGTTCTATTAAAGAATACAATAAGTTAGGGGATGTTTGTGTAAAAAAAATTTCCATGATTATCTAAGCTGTAACAATAGTTACCAACCTCTTAAACTATCCATCTGACAACAGAAGCCAATGAAAGTTGTGCCTTTCGTGAAATCGCCATTTGTTTATGGCTTACCTGTCCAAACAGAAATCTTGGTCGACTGTGATCCTTAAAAAATATTAATTAGTGAAGACATTAGAGTTTCTACAGCTATTAGTTTGCAATATCCCTAAGATTTTATGAACCATTCTGAGCTGTTTTACACTGAAAGTTCATTAGTTCTTATCATCTGGAATACCATCCAGGAGACCAGGCTGAATTCTTAAACCTCACTGTGGTATTATCCCTAATGAAAACCTAGTAACCATTGACTGTCTTGATAAGCTGGATCAGACTTAATAGCCTTTAGCTTAATTAATAATAGAACAAAAGTGACCCTTTTCACCTTCTATATCACCTCGCTTACACGATCCTTCACTTCCCGTCATTCAAACCTCAGGTCCCTCGTAATATGCAACCGGCTTGCTACTAACGCTAAAGTAATTTTTGACCTGAACTTTTTCTAGACGAAGCAATAGCCTCTTTACTGTTCAATACAATGCCTCACTATTCCACTGTATATTCTTCTATTTCATTGACATTTTCACAGCCGTCTAACTTTAACATTTTTAATATAGTGGTTGATGAGTGAAGATGAAATGAACCCCAAACCAATAATTCAGAAGCTTTCGATTCAAGTCCTACCATGAATCGAATTTCCATTTCATCCTCAATGAACACCCATTGCATCAATAACAGTCCACTAACCTGAGACTATCATAAATAGTGTCACCATTATTAAACATTGTTGTTAATTCCTATTCTTAAAAGAACAACTTTGTTCGCATTATCTTTAGGTCACAGTATTTCCCTGGTTATGAATGTTAAGTCACACTTCATAGGTTTTGTCTATAAAACGTGGAGGAAATCTATTTCCCATTAGGATTTTTCAAAAATGTCTTAACTGTTCCTCCACAGTATCAGGACTATATATGCGCCGAATGTGAGCAGCAAGCGACCGGATCAGGTTTCGTTTTTGACCAGTTGGTAACCAGTTGTGGAAATTTGTCAGTTGCACATCCCATAACAGTTTTCTATAAATCGATCTCTTTAGAGTTCAGTCGGTTCACTTTAATAATTTTACATCAAAGAGATGAATGCCAGACTGGTTCTCCATTTCGAGTGTGAATATTATCGCTGGATGGCAACCATTAAATGCATTTAATATTTTGTTCAAATTATAATCACTTTTACAAATAATAAAGGTGTCATGTACATACCTTTTATACATTTGAAAACTTTAGATTGTTGACCTCAACTGACCATTTTAAAGACTGGCCATAAAACAGTCTGCAAGAAGAGGATCTAAGGGTAATCCCTAATCATATTTTAGCTTCACCTATTTTTCGTTTTGCCTATTCAGTTTATATACTCTTCTTTTATTATTATTAGGTCAATTGTTACTACTAATATTCTCAATTTGAACTGTCACAGTGTTATTTCACTGGTTCCACTTGTCATTCTGAATCAATTTTTTTTGAAACGTTGAATTCTATGTTATCAAATTACACACAATGTTACGTAACGCCTTCATTTTTATCCTAATTGCCTACTAATCCTATAATCTCACAGCCCTTCCAAGTTCTAAACGTTCAGTGAATTGTTCTATGTATGATATTAATTGTTTTGCCATTTCACATTGAAATATGATTATAATCAAAAACATTTTAATTTTAATTACGATCTCTTTCCCGTGTTAGGTAGTATAATAAGGTAAGTAATGTTGACGTTAGGCGTAGAGTGTTGGGCAAGGAGGGAAAATCAATCGAAGAGGCTATGAAGTTACATAGATTGAGATGGTTAGGCCACGTGCTGCGCATGCCTAACCATCGTCTCCCCCAACGGGCATTACTAGCTGATATAAGTGCAGGTTGGAAAAGAGTAAGTGGTGGCCAAACAAAAACATGGCATCAATCAATCCATGAAATCCTTGACAGTTAAACTGAGTCAGGTAGGGAGGTGCAGACTTCCGGGTCGCGGCCCTCGGGACTCTAAGAATCAATGGCTGGAGACAATAGGTGATATGGTTCAAAATCGTTGTCAGTGGCGCAGATGTATTCAGTCTCTTTAACCTTCATATTCCTTTCCACCATTACTCATTCTGTTTCACTCTTATACTTATCTAAATTCTATTGATTCTCTTCTCTCATTTTCCTGTCTACCTTTGTGTGCTATTTGGAACGTGGCAACTCGAACTGCTGCACTTCAGTGCTAAGTTCTATGTTGAATCCAGCAGCAGCAGCAACCTATGATTGAATTCCTTTATTGGATATAATTTCTTAAAAACCGTATAAATATATGACTGTCCAGTTTGATAATAAATTCATTGGAAAGAGTCTCTCCGCTGAATCGCTTCTTTTGATTTTCAATATGTCCCAAGGGGAATTTTCTATTAATTAAAGGATGGAATCCCTTGAAATTGCTACCCATAATTTTTGTGTATCAGGTCAAAATAAGTTTCCTCGTTAAGTAATACACTCTCTTTCCAGAAGACAATCTAGATTTTTCAAATTCTCAGTTTATATAAATGGTTTACTCAGTGAATATGGATAAACCAGCGAATTAGCTGCATTTTTTCAACAGTTGTTTCTTGATGTGTTTCGTTTTTCTGACAATTTTCTCAAAGCATATAAAAAACGGCATGTACTAGTATTCCGTCCCCAAAACTTGACCACTCTTAAATCATGCCGTAGTCTATATTCAAGTCTTGTTTTTTTATTCCTTAACGTTTCCTGTGGAACATTGGGATTCAAGCTAGAACTTCAAAGTTTCAATAGCACTGTTATTTATTTTAACAGAATAAGGTCGCCAGCCTCATGCTCAACCTTCCCTTTTTACCAGTCCGGTTACTAGCTTAGCAAGGTAAAGAAATTCGTCGGCCTGGGCTCGAACCCCGGACCACTTGTGGCGTGGTTGGAGAGTATTGAGCTGCTGTGCCACCGACATACAATTTTCGAGTCATATTAATGTATAACAGAATACAAGGTATTTAAAATGTGCAAAAAAACAACGTGTATGCATGCATAGATATTTATAATTAGATATTATGAATAATATTATGAAGACAATAGAAATAAATTTAATATACTACTTTAGCTACTTATGAGTAGTTTAAAGTTTGTAAACGAAAAGTATGCAGTTTTGGACTTCTTTTAGAATATCATAATCATATTACATTCAGCATTTCTAATAATGACAACAACTTGAATGCCTTTTATAACTTATTAAAAAATTCCAATTGGGCCGCAGTGTCATCTACTTCGCTTTCACTTTCTATCCGATTCTCACTTTTATTTCAAGGAGTTGTGCAGTTTATTTTCTTTTTGCGTTTTTTTCTTTTTGGAATTCAAAAATTGTTTATTTTTATGACTAGTTGATTCAGGCGATAGATTTTCTTTATTCTTCACTGTTTCAGATGTTATATCCTCTGACTGTGGTGATGACTTCTCTATAGAATGTTTAAAGTAACAATTATCACCGTAAAAACAATATCCAGTTGTTGAATAGTAACGACATAATTGACTACGAAATTTTGGATGGCTTTTAGGATCACGTAATTCTTCATTACCATGTGCAAAATGACATTTTGAACCAACTGGACAATAACCATCACGTTCTTCGAAATGTTTGCATACCTGACTTTTATATCGTATGTTCAAATGTTTAGCTCTTTTATTCTGTTTATCATCCTTGGGAGTCTAGAGAGAAAAAAACAATAGGATGGTAAAGAAAAAGTAAAAAAACATGTCACTATTTCGATATCAGGTTGTAATTTTTAAAATTCTTATTTCACACATATACTGATCAACTTTCTGGTTTCAGTATAGTGAAAAACAATTAAGAAACTTGGAATGAGAGTGCTGTTTCATCCTAGTTTGGGACTCTTCACAGTGCGCAACCACCGGCAGAAGTGAGAATTCACTGGCTGACTTTTGGATCCCGTTCCTGTGGTTTAATGGTCTACGAACTCGCCTTATAACCAGAAGCTCATGGGTTAGAACCCCATGGTATGGGTGAGTGCTTCTGAAGAGTCCCAAACTAGGCTGACGAAACAACTGGCTGTCCAGTACTCCCTGCAGGTTTTCCAATGGTTCCCTAACCGATGCCAGCTATTGATGAAATCCTCCAACCAATCAAAGAAAGTCCCTACAAAAACCAATACTTGAAAACTTGGAATGATAATTAAATATGGTTTTGAGTTGGTGAAATTAAATCTCAACAAGATGAGTTTATTCAACCAGTTTGTTAATATAAACAGTTACTCAGTTGTAAAGTGAAGAAAAATGACACTGAACAATATAATTTAGATAATCATGTGTTGAGAATTCAATTTCATACCGGTCTAACTTCAGCTTATATACTCATTGTGATACACAGTTTTATGATATACACTAACATCATTGAAAGATAACTACCTAAAATAAATTTTTTAGGAAATAACACAAGGAGGAAAAGACAAGGTCTTTGTAGACAGAGGGAGACAAGGGATCATTTATTTTTTTTATTTTGGTTACAGCTTGATGCCACACCGTATTTTCAGTACAAGTATGGCATTTTCAGCATGGATATCGTTAGCCCAAATTTTGCAGGCCGACCATAGATATCGGGTGTGCGCCGGCAGGGGCTCGAACCTCGGACCATGTGCATGGTCGACGAGAGTCCTAACCACTGTGCCACCCACTGCAATGAAGCTTTTTAAATGAACACTCAAATCCAAAGTGAATAAATATTGAAGAGTACCTGGGCAAAGTTAAATTATCATAGCCAGAACCCAAGTGCCCATGAACTGACAATTAGAATTCAGATACAAAATAGTCGCATAATCGTTGAAAAATTCGCTCAAAGAAAAAATGCAAACGTGATATTATACTCTACGGTTGTAGGTTATGTCATGTAAGAATGTCTTCCAGTCACCGCATAGATGATCTATAGAGAAACGTACCATGCGCGATATATCCATTTAATCCAGGTGACTGTAGGATATGATAACTTGAAGTTCATTGATATTTCTATCACTATTCTTCAATATACTCCTAACTCTAACCATAAACCTAACTTCTGACCTTAACTTTAGCCCTAAACCCTAAACCTTAATCTTAAAAGCCATAACTTTATTTAACAGTATAGATTTGCTGAAAAAGTACCTAGTAAATAAGCAGAATGCTGTATATATCCTCTCCAAGTCTAAAATGTCAGGCATGATTTCATTTGGAATGACTTTTCATAGCATTCCTTGTATCTGATAAGTCCTTGAAAGTCAGCTTTTGAGAAACCTTGGCTTGGGTTATGATACTTTAACTTCGCCAGTACCTGAAAGTTTAGCTATGGAGACGAGGCACTATGAGAAAAAAACAGAAATAAATGTTCCCTTAAGATAGACGATTCAGGAAATGAACTAAATATTTTTAGGGATTTACACAGTGACAGAATATTTTGAAAAACAAATAGGTTAGATTATTTCAGTCAGATGAGCAAGTGATGCTAACTAATTTGAATAGTTTCAAATCAATCTGTAATACACATAAAATTGTTAGGTTTAATATGAATTAAATGGAAATAAAAATGATGACTACATCTTTACTCAAGTATTTCACAGAAGCAAGAATGTGTAAATATCCTGACTGTGGTCATCGGAATTATAAGTATTAGTGTCTGAAAACTCTGTATAGCATGGTTCAAAATCATTTACAACAGGTCAGATATGTGTTCTGTAAAGCTTCACTAATCTCAATTTAATTAATTCATTAGACACCCAAACTCTTCTATTTCAGTTTCTCTCTGTTTCTTTTCCTCCATTAAGTGTATTTTTTCGAAATGATGAACTCCTTGGCAAGTTCTACGTTGTTCTGTCAGTAACTCACACTATACTGACTTGATGTAATACACAATACCATGAAATGCTTCTAATGTGACCGTTTTGGATAACCTGTGTTCGGTAGACTAATTTTTATGTAATCCAGTAAAAACCGAATATGAATTGGAAATCAGAGTTGTGACCAGATTTTGAAGCCATTAGTTTGGATTCGGACACCAGATGAGTGGTATTTTTATGTTAATTAAACGGATATTAAGAGGTAAATAAAGTCTTATTTTGTTTTCCACTCAATGAAATATAAATTTAAAAATATTCGTTAAATTCGATTTGCGTGAAATTAAAGTGTTTTCTTTTCATTCGAGTTGTAGAAACAAGTAGAAATTTTTTTTATTCCTTTATGTTCCCAATGGAATATAAGGCTCCAAGCTATATCTTTGAAGTTTCGGTAGCAGTAGTTTTATTTTTATTGGTTGAAGTTGCTAGCCTCGCGCCCAACCTTCCCTCTTTACCGAGCTTACTACTGGCTTTATCGAGGTCTAGGGTGCGTCGGTCGAGGATCGAACCCCGGACCACATATGTGGTTGGCGAGCGTTCTACCATTGAATCACCGACACACCAAGGGAGAGGGCTGTCGAGTGGCTGCGCCACAGGATGATACTGTATGCAGCTCTCGTCCCACAAGAGGCAAGGATAAGTGTGTTCAGCTCTCCTGAAAACCAATACCCAGTCTATGGGTGTACCAAGTTGAAATATGAGAGAACCTAAATTTGTCCACAGCTAATTTCCTTTATGAAAAAAGTGAAATCAACTAGAACAGCTAGACAGCTCAACAAAAGTACTAATGATAATCTTCCCTCATAGTTTGGAGAAGGCGAAATAAAATCTATAAGAGGTTCTAATTCAGCTCATTTGATTGACAGCGGTCACTGAGTGGACAGAAGAAGTGCCTTCAAAGTTATCTATCGCATTCCATCGAAATTTTCGAATGGAATTCGAACTCATTTTCTACACATAGCCGAAGCTATGGGAATTCGAGAGAACAATCCTAGTCTTTACATACAAAAGGAGTTTCTTCTACCTTTGTCTCTCCACTGGCCTAGGTAAATTCTAATTAGAACCCTCCCACCCTTTCTTATTCTCTATTTCCTTCGTACTCTTATGATATGGATTTAAACTCTGATTAACTGTCCACTTCACCTACCTTTAGTATTATGTAACTTCTAAGATTTGACCTTATTTATTTATTTATTTATTGAATTGCCTACATATACACATTTCACTACTTTTGTTATTCCTATCACCACCATAAACCTTACTATTATTATATTGATATCATTATTGTCATCGTTATTGCTGAAGCTCAAAACATTTACAACATTATTATTATTATTATCTGAATCACAAAATCACCGTCACTGGTTAAATATTTTATACATAAATCTATGTAAACTGGAGTAAAGCCCGAAGAAGATCTAATTGAAAACAATATTCAAGTGTTGGTATGTAGGGATTTGATTGTTTTCAGGATTTTCATCATGAGCTGACATTAGTTAGAGAACCATTGAAAAACCTGGGAGTACTGGACAGCTGTTTCGTCCTAGTTTGGGACTCTTCATCAGTACGGACCCACCGGGATTCAAACCCAGGACCTTCTGGTTACAAGGCGAGCTCGTATGCCATTAAGCCACTGAGACCCGATCCAATGGCCCATGAATTCTAACTTGTGCCAATTCACGACATAGCGCGACCCCTAGCCAATGTCTTCGGCGAGTATTTATCCTCACATCCGACCTGCTGCACCCTACTGGTCACGACTTCTCACTAGAACCCCAGGTAACTACCTGAATAGGGCCAGTCGCTAGTGAGCATCTCATTGATATTCAAGTGTTGGTAGGAAGTTAGGATTCATGGGCCATTGGATCGGGTCTCAGTGGCTTAATGGCATATGAGCTCGCCTTGTAACCAGAAGGTCCTGGGTTTGAATCCCGGTGGGTCCGTATTGATGAAGAGTCCCAAACTAGGACGAAACAGCTGTCCAGTACTCCCAGGTTTTTCAATGGTTCTCTAACTAATGTCAGCTCATGATGAAAATCCTGAAAACAATATTGTTCGCTTTTTTGTCTTGTTCTAATATTAATAATGGGAATACTTAAAGTTTTGGAATCAAAGAACCATGAATATCTGGTAAGAACAGAACAATTATTTCGTTTTGTCTTTAAACTATGGCATATTTTACTGTTAGATCCGCATGGGATCAAATCCAGGATTGTCATATCTTGTGGTGATTCTGTTTGCGCTGACGTGTAATTCACCAAACAACTTTTCCATAATTTCCATCGGTTAATTATTAAATATCCTCAAACCGGATTTGTTTAACCCCAACTACAATAGCTGCCTGTATCATCTTTATGGAATTCATTTCGAAGATGTCTAACGATAGACTTCTGCCAGTCTACTTCAAAACCGCTTCAAGGACAATATAGTGTTTGAATAACTCATTTTTAATTAAACCATGCAGTATTTAAAAGCTCCCCTTTCTGTCTTCAGAAGTATACTAGAATTTCTATTACAAGTTATCAGTAAATAATAATTTTAGTTACATCTAATCTTCATTTTATAAGATATTGTACTCGGTTGAAGGCAGCTTAGGGAAACCAACTTTTGTCGATTATAAAGCAGACTTCATAACAGAGCTTCTTATCCTTCAATAAATCATTTTATCAAATCATTCATTGCTGTTGTGATAACTGACTAATCTACAATTTTCATCGGTTGAAAACTGAATGCGGATGAAATCTTGTTGGAATTATTAACATCAAAGAGCTTTTCAAGGGAAATTATACACTTACCACCTAAATTTTGAATTATTAAATACATAGCACA